CATTAACGTATCATATTAAACTGTCACAATATTTTATTTATTAATTACTTAGAAGTTCACTTTTATTACCTACATCATAAAGAAATCATGATAGACTGCTAATAAATATGCTGTTGATAATGTTTTTAGTAATTAGATATTAGTATTACCAAAAATGTTTGCCGAACTGACTGCACGGATGGCGTAGTGGTTAAGGCGGTCGCCACGCCGCTTCCTACTGCGCCGAGTGTTGTGGGTTCAAACCCCACATGGGACGACACTTTGTGTGATCCACAAATTGTTGTTCTGAGTCTGGGTGTTCTTTATCTCCGTTTTATGTATGTTTGTAAAGTTCCCCGCGACACAGGATATATTCCTAATGCAGTTGTCTTTATTTAAAAAAAAACAAGAGCAACTATCTTCTTTGGTAGATAGATTCGATATTGTAGGCAAGTTACTGGCAATTATTGATTATTGCCGATATTTGGGCCAATTCACATCAGCCTTTAACAGTCCACTGCTAGACAAAAGCCTCTCCATAGGAAGGAGGTTTTGGCCGATTAATAAACAATATAAATAAGTAAATTGTTTTATTGGAATAATCATACAGGATTGTAGAATATACCACCGACATGAGTGCACTCTGAGCACAAACATTGAGGTTATATCGAACATTTTGAGGGTCCAACAAGAATGTTAGAAAAATATAATTTGCGTTATTAGTAGTATTGTTTCTATCTGATGAACATTTATGCTGATACAATAATAGCTGGGTGGTATATTGCTCTGATTGTTAACTTAGGATTGTAACAATAAAACTATCATGATACAATGGTAATTGCGTAATCTGTCTCACTTGGCGAACTGCTGGTGAACTCCAGTTACGCGGAGGAAGTTAGGTCATATTTTGTTGCTAACGTTAACCTGATATTTAAACGTTTGAATGTGAAACCGTGACATTAAGCACAGAGTACTTGAGGTTATGATAAACTAATAACAATGGTTTATTAGTTTACCTTCTAAGCTTTCTAAGAAATGTTTAACACAGTATCATAGCTAAAATAAATACAAGGTTTATTTATCTATCTGTCTATCTATTATTATATATATATAAAAAATATTTAGGTTTACATATATTTATTGCGAAAGAGAACCAGTAATGAGCACTACAGGTGTTCGGACAATGGATCATCATTATGTTCTACCAATGGACATGCAAAATATAGTAAACATGTCAAAATGTAGCCTATTACATAAAATATAAACAAGCAATTACATTTAAATGCATCGCTACACTTGTTGGCTATTGTATTTTGGGTGATGTGTCTGTAATAGTTAGGACAAGGTTTTAATGAAAGAAAACTTAAAAATTATAAATATAAACAAGCAATTACATTTAAATGCATCGCTACACTTGTTGGCTATTGTATTTTGGGTGATGTGTCTGTAATAGTTAGGACAAGGTTTTAATGAAAGAAAACTTAAAAATTATAAAATCTCTGTTGAAAACTGTATAGTATATAGAAGATTTGGTCTATTTTTCATTACGTACATATCCTTACGAAGCAGAGACTGAGTATGCATATAACACCTGTTGTTGGTTTAAACTTTAATCGTGTGCTCCTAATATTAAAGCGTTCAACGTAGTAGTCTATGAAACTTTGCATCGCTAGACTCAGATAAACTGACGACCTGAGAAATAAAGTGGGGATGGCAATATTATCAGATGCAATGATTTTGTATACAAGATATGTTACCTTCATAGTAACTGACTCTTCAAATCTGATCGCGCCATATATACATACCGATATAGTGCACACATGTTGACAAGTAGCATTAATGAAAAGTACAAAAGATGGGATAAGCACGTGAGTAAAAAAGATAGCTATAATTGGAACGATTGCACTTTAAGTGTTATGTCGAACCATAGATTATGATTTTGTTGAATTTTTTATATTTGAAATATCATTGATCAGATGCTATATTGGACAGTTAAACACTCGATTATAATATTGAATGAGGAATGTGCGAAATCTATGGCCCTTGTACATTCTAAGACTTAACCCTGGCCTGCTAAACCTTGATAAATCTACGAAGCACGAGCATCACCCACGAAGATAACCCGCCAATCAACAACAGATCTTTATGCGTTATTATCACAGAACGAAGTAACGCGAACCGTATGAAAGAGACATTCATTCACGGGTGGCCAGTTATGTTTGGGTTATCAAACTGCCATGTTTACAAACGACGTCTGTTACAAGACCCGTGGTGATCGGTTTATAATCTTAATTATTGGAGATATTACGTGAGATAATAATTGTATGAGTACCGTTGTGAAGCAGGCATTCGGGCAATTTGTTGTAGATAAAGATTTTGACTGCACGAATGGCGTAGTTGTTTAAGCGGTCAACCATTCCGCTTCCTACAACGCTGAGTGTTGTGGGTTCGATCACCACATGGGACGACACTTTGTGTGATCTACAAATTGTTGTTCTGACTCGGGGTGTTCTTTGTGTCCGTTTCATGTATGTTTGTAAAGTACCTAAGATATGTTCCTAACGCGTGAGTTTTCTTTCTTAAAACAAAAGAAAACAAACAAAATCCATCTATCATCATCTCGCTCTGTCTCCAATATTATTGTAAATACATATTAAATGTAGGCATATTAACTATGTAAATGCAATTTGCGTAATATGTAACTTTTTTGTATGTGGTTTTGGCTTGTTTTTATTAAGGCTGACCTGATGCCATCTTTAATATGAAATGTAGTCATTTTCATACCAAAGAGCCTTTTTGCGTCTGAAGCTAAATTTATTTATTTATTTATTATTTATTTATTTTCTTTAAAAACAACTATTTTTACAGGCTTAGCCCAATGCAATAGTGTTATACCATCTACTTATTTATTATAAGAAATAATTCTTAATGCTGTTATTGTGAATTCACTCAGTGAGCAATAAAATAAATCTACTTCGTCCGCAATTATATTCAGAGTACGTAGTGCGCGCGTCAGCGGTGCTTCTCTCTGCAGGTTGGTGCGCCCGCACGGGACAGCCAGCAGCGGCGGCCCAAGGCGCCGCCACACGTATCTGTCCGGAACACATATGCTGACTCGTCCTAACACGTCTTCATTATGTATCCCACCCCTAAGTACCCTAAACAGGTACGAGACGAGTGTGAGTTCCCTTCTGACCCTCAGTTCATCGTATCCCACCATCCCCAGAATAAATAACGTGGGATACATTAATGGATACAATGGGTATACTCCATAGTATCTGAAGTACAAAAACCTAACAAATTTATTTTGAACTCGCTCCAACATGAGGCTATATTTAGCTTCATGTGGGGCCCAGATGACTGCGTTACTCTCTAGCTGACTTCTTACCAACGCGTTATACAATGCTATAATTGTATTTAGGTTTCTAAGTCCTTTACTGTTCGTAAAACAAAACCCAAATTCCTATAAGCTTTTTTACAGCATTTCACTATGTGATCACGAAATCTTAGCTCAGCGTTAACACAAACCCCTAAATCCCTAACCTCTGTGACCCTTACCATCTGTGTCCCGTCTAAATTATAATTATACGAGATGGGTTCGCGTAAGCGTGAGAAGGTGATAGCCACGCACTTCGAGGTATTAAACTGCAAGAGATTGTCTCTACTCCAGGTTACCACCCTATCTATGTCTGTTTGAAGCTTCTTGCAGTCCTCCAAGTTGTTAATAGGAAGGGAGAGCTTGAGGTCGTCTGCGAACAGTAAGCATTTCGCATCCTGGACTACTCTGGGTAGATCATTAATCATTATAATGAATTCTAGAGGCCCAAGGTTGCTACCTTGACTTACGCCGGACCTGGTGAAATATGGCTCCGATACATGCCCCCCGTATTCCACGTACTGCTGCCTACCTTGCATGTAGCTGGCAAAAAAATTAAGCAAGTGGGGGGTGAAACCGATGCTAGCTAGCTTCTTCAGTAGCACGTCATTATTGACCAGGTCAAAGGCTTTCCGGTAGTCGAAGTATGCAGCGTCAACTTGACCTCCTCGGTCCACCACCGGGACCACCTCTGTTGTGTAAGCGAGCAGGTTGCTAGTAGTGCTCCTTTGGGGTCGAAATCCATGCTGAGCATCCGCAAGCTGCGGGCTTACTTGTAACAGAATACTATTGTGGATGGCGGACTCGAAAATTTTCGCTGGGGTCGACAGGACTGCAACAGGCCTGTATTCATCAACCCTTGAACCTGATCCACCTTTCGGCACCGGTATGACGCGAGTTAACTTCCACCTGTCTGGGAATAAAAAATTGCCAGCGTTTTATGTTAGAGGCTTAAAATGTAATAATAATAATTTCACACATCTCACACCCGGCAGTCTGATCTAAAACTAGGCAGAGCCTGTACTATGGTAACCAGACAGCTGTGTAAACATACTTAAATATTTCCAAATACATACATTTTATAGATTTGTTACACTCAGACACAAAACAAATGATCGCTTAACACACAATTATTTGTTTTGGGTGGGAATCAAACCTACTTCTTCCGGCTCAGCAGTCAGGGTCACTGATCCCTGAATTTATAATTTCATTAATCATACACCTGGTTTATACGAATTTTTTTTTTCATATATTTCTTAATCATAAGTATTATTTATCAGATTTTTAAAGATACTCGTAGCAAGTTATTTAAATCGCTATCCTTCCTTATATTTATAGTGTTGTGTACCTGCAATGGGAAAAATTAAAAAAGACAATCAATATCATAGAGATAGAATTGTTTAAAAGTTAGTTTATTTTCAAACGCGCAGGAACTTGGAAAATCGGTATAAAAACAAAAAATAGGAATAACAATTTAATGTGAGCCAATATGGTTCACAGTATTTGTTCATGGGACGAATTTCTATTTGCATTTATAACAATAAAATCTAAGAACTGCAAAAGCACTTGTGACGTTTTGAGTTATAGGTGTCTATGGGTGGTAATAGTTCATACATATATTTATGGTGTATTTTCTTCATTACAGACGCACAAACTATACGCGATGCGGTACTGGGGCTGCGAACTGTTGTGTCTCATAAACATCGTGGTACAGCTGTGGATGATGAACAGCTTCTTCAATGGAGAATTCTTTAGTTATGGAGTCAGGGTGCTTGGCTATAGCGATGTTCCTCAAGAAGAGAGGTAATTGAAACTAAATTACTCTTGGCGTCTTTTAAACGAAATACATCCTTATGGGTGTATTGGGGGTTATGGGGTCCGTGTGCTAACGGATTAAGAATACGGAATGTCACCACCCCTATTCATCCCTTGGGTGTCGTAAGAGGTGACTAAGGGAGCTAACGCAGGACAACCAGCACTGCAAAGAGAAGGAAAACTTGACGCAAACCCTATACCAACCCGTCTGGCCAGCGTGGTATAGTAGGCCAAAACTTCCTTTCTAAGGAGAGGCCTATGTCCAGCAGTGGACTATTAAAGGCTGTTGATGTGATGTGGGTGTATTGTCCTTCGGCATATATGGTCTGGGCCTCAATTCTGCTATTTTATTAATAGACTCGGAATAGTTTTGCATTTTTCGTATTCTACTAACTATGTAAGACCAGTGGCCTCCCGATGACTTGTCACTGAACTGCAACAATAATGTTGTCGGTTTTCGTGAAATAGTTTGGTAAACGATGCGTTTTTAATTTGTAATTGAATGATATATTTAATTTTCCAGATATATCAATGTTGTTAATATTAAAATTGATGAGCCATTGCCACTACATCGACAGTCTATTGACACTGTGAATTTATGTTAGTAGAATATCGATATTTTGACCGATATCAATATCATCTCAATAGCGTGTCAATGGAATTACAGTGGCTTGTACATTAATATAAAATACATTAAGCAACAGATAGGCTACAAAAATATTTTTACTGCACCGATGGCGTGTTGGTTTATGAGGCCGCCCTACCGCTTACTGCTACCCCACATGGGGCGACACTTTGTGTGCTCCACAAATTGTTGTTCTGAGTCTGGGTGTTCTTTGTATCTGTTTCATGTATGTTTGTGGGTTCCCTCTCGACACTGGAATATATTCCTAATGCGGGAGCTGTCTTCTTAAAGTTTTGTTCTGTCGTCTGTCTTAAAAGAAAGAAAATATTTATTAGCATTTTCATTTTACATTTATTATTTATACAAGATTCCTTTCCTCTAATTAAACATTTAATCAGACATTAAGAACAAAATCCTACGAATGAACAACCACTTACATTAAAAAAACTTTACCTATTTCAGATATGATCCAATGATCTACATTTTCCCTCGAGTCACGAAGTGCACATTCCACAAGTACGGTGCGTCAGGCAGTATACAGACCCACGACAGTCTGTGTATACTACCGCTGAACATCGTCAACGAGAAAACATACATATTTCTGTGGTTCTGGTATATCATACTGGCTGTGGTGCTGGCTCTGCTCATTATATACAGGTTAGTTGGTCCTTAAGACTTACGATCACCTTACTTTGGATTAAGTATTCATCACATGGGAAGACATTAGTGCCCATATAAGGGGTTCGGTTTCCGGGGTCGAGCTGTATCTGCATGGAAGATCGACTTGAGTGATCTAGTGCAAGGCAATTGTGACAGTAAGAGCCGTGATGGAGAATTGACTCTCGTGGCAATTTTCCTAGCAGCTGACGTAGGTGCTGAACGGTCACGGCAGTTTCGTAATGAACCTTTTGCGGGAGCCCACATTTGAATGCGTTCACTGTGCTCATCACACAATATTTGTCCTGGGTGGAAATCGAAGCTACAACCCCTGGCTTAGCAGCCAGGGTCAAAAACCACTAGACCAACAGGCCCGTCGTTTCTCAAATTACACCAACGTTAACTATTAAACCGCTATGGATGTTACATATACCAATATCTATGTCTGTACCGTCAGCATAGCGACATATAATCAGTTTATTGTTAGCCTAACAAACAATATTGTTAAATAAATAAAAGCATATGCATAAACAGGTCGGCTTAAAGGTATACAGAGTGTGCTTTATCTATGTAAACAAGTTGACAGAACAAACGAGCACATATTACCGTAATGAGGGCTTACTGATAGGCAGGCTCTCTTAAACTAATTATGATAAACCTACTGCGTTGTTGCATCTTGTTTACATACTCACTTCATTTCTATGGACCAGGTTTTTTCTCGGGCTGTGAAATAAAAATTCTCTTTTATGATCATAATGTAAGACGTACTTCGAGTACAAGAAAACAATAGACAATCACTCTTGTGCAAAATTTGTTAAAATACAATAATTACTTTCTCTTTCATCGCTCAAACTTCACTGCAAAAAAAATGGGGCTAACTAATTACTGTAGCTTTGTAATTACTGTATAAATACGAAAGTTCAAAAGTTAGTACTGCAGAACTGTATAGACTGCTAAAACTTTCAAATTCGTAATTGTTTCTGCCGTGGGAGAGCTATGCTTCGGCAGAAATGAACCGGCTCTACCGCAGGGATTCCCCGACCTCACAGAAAACCTGTGTTAAGGAATTGTCTCGTTACAACAGAAACCATTTTTATCTTTTAATATTACAAAAAATAATGGTTTATTTACAAAGCTATTATAAAGAATACATTATTATTCCTTTTCAAATTATTCCTTTTCAAATTAATTTTCATATTATACGTTAGATACGTTGTGAATTTAATGTAGATTAAAATTGCTTTTTACAGGATATCATTTAAATGAATATTTTAGAAGATATTAGAGGTTTAAAATGCGGGGGCCCAACGACCCGTCCCGGATCGGAACAGGCCTATAAATATTGCATATAAAGATGTCCTGCAGTATAAATAAATAAATAAAAATAAAAAAGCCTTTTAATTTCATGCATTAAATATCCGATATTAACATTTTTTTTTTGTTTTTGCATTACACTAGTTAGAATCATGAAAACAATATATAGAAATGATTTGTTAATAGATTAAATTAAAATGATAAATATATTTTGATTGCTCTTATAATAATAATAATAATTATTAAAGATGCGTAAAATTAAAAAAATAAATTTCCTTGTTTTAATAATTAAAATTGTTTTAAATTAAAGAAAAGTTTCTAAAAAAATATGCATGAACCCCTCAAGTTGTGAGGGTGAAGGCCTCCTCCTCCAGAGAACTGCAGTGGTCTCGGTCAATGGTCGGTCCTGCAGGATAGTCCTATCATAATAATGCCTATCAAATAAAACTACCCATGGTTTCTTACACTTACGAGTATTGTAATTTTATCCAGCTCAGTAGCAGTATTTGCTCAATCTATTTCCACTATTATTATAATCTGACAGCTTTCAAGTATGATTACCAAAATGCTCGTTCTAATTTCATGTATATACGACTAAGTAAGAACTCTATGTTAGTATAAAAATCTCATTCTTTTTTGTAAGTTCAATACACTTACTAAACAATAAGTGGCCCGATTAAGTATTTCTCAAAAATTTCCCTTCCAGATTAGTGATAATCTTCGTGCCTTCGATTCGTCCACGTCTGCTGCACGCACGTTCACGTACTCTCTCCAGGGAAACTGCTGAGGTTGTGTCCCGACGCACTGATCTTGGAGACTGGTGGTTACTGTACATGCTGGCCAGGAACATCGACCCTCTTATATACAGGTGAGGAGTCGAGTCGTACAGGCTAACGGGAAACACTCATCCCCGAAACCGACTAAGAATAAGTAGGAAAATGTATGCGCGTGTGTGTGTGTGTGCGTGCGTGCGTGTGTGTGTGTGTGCGTGCGTGCGTGCTTGCGCGCGGGCGGGCATTCGTGCGTGAGTGCGTGCGTGTGTGTGAGTGTATATGTGTGTGTGTGTTGGTATTGTCTCATAGCAATGAATGTCTGTGCATAATGTTTATTTTGTCAGGCGAGGCTTTTGGTTGTGTGCCGAGCGAGTTATAAATACATGACCCCTAAAATTTTAAGAATTTAGTTGAAATTTGATTTTTATGAACATTAGCCTATTACTTAAAGGAATATAATATTATTATGCCCAGTTTTAGAAATTTAGTCGTGAAAACAGATAGCTAACTACTGTACTCAAGTTTGATTACAGATTGACACAGGTCAATCTGTAATCAAATTAGGTATAAACATACAGATGTCCAAAGTGTATTGTATCGATTTATCGCTTCGTACTTGCATCGAATAACCGAATATGCTTCCAATGATGTATATAATCTGCGAAATTATCTAATCCTCATCTCTATATCGTACCAGTATCCCATGAATTTTCATCGATATGCAGTACGAGCTCTGTTTATGGAATTTTAACGTATTTACTCATAGTAAAATAGTAATCAACTCAAAGTTAAGTAGAAATTATATTTGATAAAAGATTTCTGATGATTCTGATATATTTATGATTTGGTTGTTTCCAATTAAAATTCTATCCTATGTGTAGGGAGCTGATAATCGAGTTCGCCAAACGCACCGGGGAGAAAGCTGGTGCGCGCGCGTGACCCGCGCCCTCCGCCCCGCCCCCCGCACCGCCCCCCGCGCCGCCCCTCGCGCTCATCGGTGTCTGACGGCGGCCACTAGCCTCGCTTCTCAAACTCACTCAATTTTCATGTACACCTTCTTGCCGCTTAGACAGTATGTACATAACACGTGTTCTCAAACATTCCTGTTCAGCGTAAAGAAAAAATATGTCTTCGGTAATACTAATGTTAAGGTCTTTGACATAGGTAACTATAGAGAGTAAATAATGACACGGACATGAACTATCGGAACACAGCAACATTTCAAATACAGCCAACTTCACTGCTGTAGTGATTCACTAGCGACTCCCTCGGTCATTTATTGAACTATTATTTTATTCATTTTGATGGGTACATGAGGCAAATATGTACTGTATAGATTATTAAAAAAAGTAAAAATCCATCAATAAATTAAAATTGCGTGCATTTAAATATACATATTTGAAAATAATGTTTCATTATTCGAATAATATTAAAATTACTATCGCTTAGGAGTTTTGATACTAAGTTTTTATTACAGTATTGTGCAATTTGAAAAACAAAAGAATTTTAAAGTACCTTTTTGAATACTTGTACGATTTCTGTAACAGCGGCTTCTATTCTTTAAATTGCTGTAGAAGACCGTTGACAAAACATACTAAAATTAAGAAAAAGTGAAGTTTACAACTCAATGTTGTACAAAACTGAAAACATTACATTATGACAATTTAAATTAGTAACTTAATGTCAAGTAACATCAATATGACATTACTGCTTGTATTAAAATGAAATTTGCTATTTGTTTCCCGAATTCCTGTTGTCCAAAGGTCGTAATAATATTTTAAAAGTTGTCTACGTTCCTATTTCAAATTATAATTTAACCTTTTTAAATATGACATTCGAAATAAAAAAAAAAACAACTGTAATACCTTAAACAACGTCTATATTATATAAATTGTATCTTTCATACACATTCTTATGAAACTTCAGGCTAAATTTTAGTTAAAAGTCCGTTCAAAATGAATTTATAAATTTATATCTCTATAGAGAATCTAAGTTTCGTACACTTTTTTACATTTCCATTACTATTTTATGACATAGATTTTAACGTTTTTCATTGAACAACGAATTATTTCGCATTGAGTTTATTAACAGTCCGCCTGAGAGTTTGACATAGACATATCCTAGAAAAAAGTCTTTCACCCTTTTCTCACCTTTATCTCATTTAGAATCTTCGTTGAAGGTATTGTAAAGAACACACAGCAACACGAAGTGACTTAAGGAGTATTACAGAAAAAAAAAAAACGAATTATTCTCTGTTTCCTACTCGCAGGCGGACTGTAAATACGATGTATTATTATTTCTTTAGCATATGTATGTTTAGTAATTATTCGTATGGGGTCTTATCACTGCCATTAATTATAAACCCACTTATCCACAAAAACATAAATGTTCCGTATCCACTGAACGTTTTCTCTCTCTCTCTCTCTCTCTCTCCTTATTTGACACCTGTCAAAGTGACAGTGAAAGTGACAGATCAAGAGAGAACGATCGAGGCAGATGAAACATACTTTGATTATTATCATAATGGGGGATAAATCTTTATCATTTTATTTTCTCGAAAATCAAGGAAACAGCAGATCTAATAAATAAGATTTTCAAAGTAAAAAGATAGAACCATGTGTAACAATTTAACTCTTTTTATTTTAGTCTTATTTGTGCTGTGTGGTGGCACAAGTAAACAGACAAGTTTTAATATACATTGTGGTGTGGAATGTCACATGTCAATGTTGGGTCTGTGAGCAAAGAATCTAATAATGATCCTGTCAGATTCTTTGCTCACATACCCAACTTTATAAAAAGGTATATGTTTAAAGAAAATCTAAATGATAATGTATGAAAATATGAAAACAGTTATTTAAAAAATAATCGAAATTGTTTTACATTTGGTTCTATCTTTGAAATGCATAAGCCGCTATTATGTTTACTTTGTAGTTGTACGAATTTAAAATTAACTATATTAGATTATACAGACAAAAGCCTTAGGATATAGTATATTGTCTTTTATGTTGAGGCTGTCATTTTCTACATACGTACAAAATAAGTATTGTATGACAAACTGTAAGATCTGACCGTAGGAGTTTATGATATAAATCTCATTTAAAAACTAACATCAATAACAATCAATACTTGATCTGATAAAAGACAATCTTTACTAAATTGTTTTTTTTATGCATATCATTTTATCTTTTTAATTTAGGCTATAAAATATTTGTTGCAGTTCAATTAATACAATATATTCTGTCATTTTTAGTATAGCACAATGTATTTTTAATTTTTTTTATATGGCAACTTTTATTAGATTTATTTAAATGACAACTTTATTGTAACAATTCATTTATGGATAAAGAAATTTATTAGTTTTAATAATCTGACAATGGCAAGCCATATTATTATATAAACTATCAAGCAATGAGGACAAAAGGACTGTTATTGTAAGGCCTTACTTGAAGCATTGTATGTAACGTGTGGACTTTTGTATTTAGTAAGCTTTTGAAAAGTTTTGGAACATTGTCGTAAGTTAAAGAAGTGTCTATTTAAGGTTGGGACACAACTATGTCAATCTCATATATAATGATTATAGATGGGTCAAAATCACAGTGAACTGTGAAAGACCTGTGATTTATCATTCCATTTTTTCTTACGTAGGTTAGAGTTACTGCTTACTCACGCGTTGTTGCCAATAAGCTGTATTCAGACGATGCATAAAGACCCTATTTCGCCTATTTAACAATAATTTTAGTAATTATTTTATTATATATAGCTACTGTTCCCTAAATAATATTCTTTAATCTAATCTACCTACCTAGCAACCTTAACCTACGTACGCAAAAATCAAAAGATAAATCACAATTCACTGAGATTTTGTCCCTTGCCTAGTAATTAGAGACAGGAACGAATAACAGTCGTATCTCCTAGACCCAGACGTATGTGCCCCAGGCCTTATTTAATGTACTAGATTTGATGGTTGTCAGTGATATAGTAATATATTGTGTGTATTTGTATCGTATTATACTAGATTTATATTATCATTTTATACAAAAAAAAATACCAAGTATTTTTGGTATTTGAATGGCGAGTAGCGCCATCTTTTGGAGTTACGAGCGAGTGCCGTGACTAACGCCATCTGTTAGTCGCTTAACTGAACTAGTGTTGTGAAGTATCTTCTGATTGGTGTTCATTTTTGTAACAAAATTGTACGTTCCGTGTATTGGAACGATTTTTTAAAGATTTTTTACTGTTGCAAGTTGACTAGACGAATTGTTAAGTTTTAATGTGATATCATTTACTTGGTGATGCTGTGGCGGAGTTGACGTATTAGGAATTATATTTGGTGTAATATATACATAAATATACATACCTACCACAATATATATACCTAAATATGCCTTGAATTGTTTTCTTCTTAATATTTCACGGTGAATGAAGGCTTTTGAAATATTTTTCTATTTCATTCACTGCATTCATTCTCATTCGATGTATTTTGACCCTATAAAATATGAATTACCCACACTACCTATCTTTATTTTATTAACTGATGTTAAAAGGAGGATAACTTGAATTTCACTGGATTTCGTTTACTTGATTGTCTATGCTATGCCATATTTTCGCAATTGTGAACCTATTTCAAGTCAAATTGCTCCTACTCAAAGTTTAATTTGAAACTAAACAATATAAGGGTTGAAAAATAAGGGATGCAAAATACAACATACTACACTATTACAATTTATAAGCATTGAAGTCGAAAATACTATTTTACATTGATAAAATAGTATTTTTTTATTGGACTAATCCCTCCCACACGCCCACCACTGTAACTCCTGTACACCGGGATCAACAGCCACGAACACACCGAGTTATGACACTCGGGTAGTCCGAAGAAAAAAAAATTGGTATTGGAACAACGCAATAAAATTAATCAGAAGAAAATAAAGGAGTTCAAAATACAGTAAATCCATATAAAATAGTATTATCGACTTTATAGGTCTTTATTAAAATTCTCAAAGCTAAAGCTCTGTTTCAGCTCTCAAAAGGTACAGTAGGTCCCGAGATTGTTTCTTTTCTCATAAAATTCTAATAGAGATTTCATGTATCTTTCAAAATACCTTTTTTATACCAATCTGTGTATGACATCCTGTCTGTAATACAAAACTCCTTGTCCGCAGTGTCATATTCATTTCATCCTATATCATATTGTTGTATCCATAATAACCGCATATTGTACCTAGTTAAAACTACGAATAAAATAATTAGAACTCATCTCCCAATATACGTCACAAATGTCTTCGCTCTAATGTAAAATGTCCTCTGTAATTCTTAGATATAGACTGTGCAGGAACAAATAATCGACTTTAAAAGTAAGCAATTCCCCAATAAAAACATTTTTGTTTACGGATTTTGAACACAAATATCGTCATCATCGTCAACCTATTGCGGTACAATACTGGACATAGGCCTGTCCCAACATGGGAGAGGCCCTGATCCACTGCTGTACGTATTCCTAACACCTCAGCTGGACTGATTGACAAGACTACATGTGTGAGCCACGTTGCTTGCTAGTATTTTTTATAAAATAAAAATATGGTAATTTAATTCCTACATAAAATCATTCTTAAAGCAAAACTAAGATCATATTTGTGTTCAAACTTCGTGGCACTTACGCCTTTTTGAAACACGCTCAAATGATATAATTGCCATAAAACAAAAAAGATAACTTCACAAATATATATATAAATAGTATTTGTATATTTAGGATTGTGTAATTTTAAATTAGATTTACATTTCGTTTGACGACGTTTTCCATTTTACCGTTCAAATCGGTATTCATAATATATATTGAAAGACAGTGTAAATAGTGAATTTAATAGTATATACGCATGTTCCTAACAAACTCAGTTTTAGTTCAATTGTAGGCTGTACTTCATGTGGTAACTAAATGGTCTTGCAACTCGGGTGGGACATGCTTCAACAGATTGCGAAAGATCACACTTATTAATTATTGGTCAATTAACTATGCATTCACTTTTAATTTAACTAAAAAATGGAAAAAAAAATATTTTTAAATTCTAGAACACGCCTAAGTCTCTTTCTTATGCTGACAATTTTTCTGATAAATCCGTAAAACATCATGGCAGCTCTGTGTCAGAAATAGTTATATCATAAAGTCAATTTAGAAAAACTGTAATAACTTAAATTATGACAATTTTACAGTTAAAACAATGGGTTTGGCACCGGCACCCTTGGAGATTTCTACACAAATAACTATCTCAACGTGAAGGCCTCCTTAATGACAAATCGTTTTAAATATTAATTTTGTTTTTCTAATATCCCAGATATCAGACAAAACGACATCGCATTAAATAAATAATTATTTAGTTACATGGTAACCCAATCTCCACCCGAGTGAATTTTTTACTTATAAAATAAGTGTCATCATGTTAAATTGTATTGGCAACACTCAATATAATGTCTATTAGTTTTTAAATTAATTTAAAAAACATCAAGCATTTATTATAGAATAGTTATTTTTAATTTAAATACATTGTATCATATGATTGCAACATGTTATTAAGACATTACAAATAAATTGATTTCTATAATGTACGGAATATTTGATAGTGATTTATTTGACAATTTATGCTTTCAACTAGAGTATGGAACAAATTATTTGACGTAAGGTTTTTTTTCATACTTTCAAAGATTAGGAATTTTATTATTAGAAGCTTTGTAATAAAATCTAGTGCCATGTTTCATTAAACATAATGTCTTTATGCTATTCACTTGGCTAATTCTTATTACAGTTAAAAGGGGCCTTATCAAGACTAATGACTGTGTTTTGTTTATAATATTTCTTATCTTTGACAATTAACAACAGATTTTAATGTATTTGCGTTTGTCTACATTTATTTTTTTGACAGATTTTTGCTGTTTTAAAAACAATGTAGAAGTTATTGCCGTGAGAAGCTAAAACTCACACAAAACTTGTGAATGCATAACTTTTCAATAGTGTTCAATACTTAATCTGCGAAATGAGGCTCAAATTATATTAAAATGTCTACAGTGTACTTTCTGTCACCTTAAGGCCAAGTCAGACAGCGGGCGGGACAGGATGACGATATGGCTTGAAATTGTAATGTAGTAGTTATTGTAGATGTTAGACGCTCGACATTAATCTACATTTCAGACTCCGGAGCCAGGTCGCCGTCCCTCTTCGTCCGCTGTCTGCTCCAACCTTTACTTAATAGCGCTTCTAATACTAAAATTTCTTGCGAACTCTACTCTTTATTGTATCAAGTAAGAGTATGTATATTATATGATAATTTCTATAGAATACTTGCAGAATAAATATGCCTGAAAACAGATGTAATTGTTGATAATTAGGTGTTATGTAAGTCTGCGATGTTTCATTAAGATGAATTATACAAAAACTATTCTTGTAATACTATCGTTTTATTTATACCTTTGACAAACACGAAACATATCTGCTGAATTAGTTAAAATCGACATTATTAAGTTAGCCTTAGGACCAGCCTTAGGACCTTCACGGCAGGACGTAAGCCCATGTCTATGTAATTATGTTTATTTATACAAATAGCCGGTTAACGGCAATAGAGTTGCCACCTAAATTAAGTGGGACTAAAATTATAGCTAGACTAATAATAATCGTTTATTTTTCTCTCTCACTCAGAATAAATATGTTTATTAAGTTTAATACTCCTCTGACCACCCCTCTTCGGATACAGACGTGAGTATGTGATGTATTATAAACTGAAATAATTTGTACAAAATTCAAGCTCACACAATTTAATTTTTTTTTTTTTATTAAAAAAAAAAAGACAACGCCCTCATTAGGAATATATATTCCTGTGTCGCGGTGGACTTTACAAACATACATGAAACGGACACAAAGAACACCCAGACTCAGAACAACAATTTGTGGATCACACAAAGTGTTGTCCCATGTGGGGTTTGAACCCACAACACTCGGCGTAGTAGAAAGCGGCGTGGCAACCACTTAAACCACTACGCCATCCGTGCAGTCCATTATATGCCAACTAACTCTAAATCGGCAGATTTTCACCTTCAATGCGACATGCCCTGAGGATTCAGCAGCTCATATTATTGTGGAGTGTGTGACAGTGACCACACAATGATCAAGTTTCTCTGCGGATTCGAGGTCGCTCTTCAAAGCCTGTAAACACCCTATGCTGCTTCAGTGAACCTTATCTGAACGGTTAATAGACGTCTATGAATGTAAATTACTGCACGGATGTAAATGACTGCACGAATGGCGTAGTGGTTTAAGCGATCGCCACGCCACTTGCTATTACGCTGAGTGTTGTGGGTTCAAACCCCACATGGGACGACACGTTGTGTGATCCACAAATTGTTGTTCTGAGTCTGGGTGTTCTTTGTGTCCGTTTCAATGTATGTTTGTTAAGTCCCTCGTGACACAGGATATATTCCTAATGCGGGAGTTGTCTTTTTTTTAAAGAAAAAGAAATGTGTGACATTTAAACGTGGGAGACCGGTAGTGATAAACAGGGGTTAAGTACTTTCTTTGCTTTTATCGAGTGAGTGAGGTTACCGAAACATTCCTCCCCTTGATTTCGGGGCGGATTCATAGGGCGACAACCCACTTGTGAGTCTAGAGTTGCAGGAGTCCATGAGCGACGGTGGTCACTTACCATCAGGTGACCCGTCTGCTCGTTTGCCATCTTACAACATAAAAAGACTACCTTATTACTTCTACAGCTTTTAACAGTCCACTGCTGGACATAAGCCTCCCCTTAGAAAGGAGGTTTTGGCCTACTATACCACGCTGGCCAGACGGGTATAGGGTTTGTGTCAAGTTTTCCTTCTCTCTGCAGTTCTTCTGCTTAGTTTTTTCCCTTAGGCGGTTCTTACGACACCCACGGGATTAATAGGGGTGGTGACACTCTGTATTCTTGATCCGTCACCACACCGACCTTATTACGCATCTGTATTTTTACACAATAAATAAATCAATAGAGAACATCACTATTTATTTCTAGAATGTTTCGTTTTGCGTTCTGGTTTTTGAATTGAAACATTTAAATACAGGACAGCACTCCGGGTAAGGTTTGGTCAGGTCCGGGCTGGCCAGGAGCTTGCAGTCGGGAGCGTTCATTGTGATGTCACATCTGATAACAAGTATGATTTTGTAAGTATGACGTATGATATTCGCACAGTTTTCCAGACATTAATTTGTTCTATCGTTATTTGCGTATAATATTATGCAATTTATGGGTATCTGCTTGACTAGAGATGGTACGAGTAGCACACTATAAAAATCTTTATATTCCTCTAAAAGAACAACACCAACTCCTTTGTTAAATAATGATTGGGCCGATAGATGGGGGAAGTCCAAGGCTTCCCCCTGGATAGGGCCTATCATAGCAAGGCGCGGCGTCGTACCGGAAATTAACATGGTCCGGCTCAGAGTAGGCGTCGCCTGAGAGCGGCCGTCGGGGTGGTTTTTAATGGAAACACCACATACCCTAGCTCATATTTTTCGGGCGCAAATCACAAGGTTGCTTCAATAGCAGTCCGATGTCTATAATGACCTCATAGACGAATAGAAACAATGCTGAGACTAATCATCTAAGGGGTGCCATCTGTTCGCGAACGATTGTCGAGGACATGACATGAGGTGAATCACTATTTCGCTCAATTTTTTACAGGTCATGGTAACTTTAAGAGCAAACTGCATTCATTTAAATCAGTCGAGTCACCATTCTGTCAAACTGTGAATTGACTCTAACTGTGAAGTCTTTCTAAAAGTGCAAACCTAAGTACTTACGTATAATACTCCAGCCACTTGTCCTCACACTTGTACAGAACACAATCTGGCATAGTTTCCTCTTTCCCCAATGGTATCACCTTGTCATATTCAGCTAAATAGCAACCAGGGATATCCTCTGGAATCATACATAAGGTAGTATACAAGAAGGAACATAGAAAATCGTGGTTATCCATTCATGAAGGTATCCTTTTGTAGTAGTAAAAGATTAGCATACTTCGTACGGGAGCAACATTTGTACACCAATATATAATTTAAAAAAGTATTGAACTTGAGAAGTGGCGTTCGTTGAGCGACCATTCGTCAGTTGAAGTTTAAATTTCATCTGACGAATAAATACAAATTTGGAAGAACTGCTTGAAAGAAGTTCGTTCATATTTGATTGGTAAGTATTTTTTGTTAAAAACTTTAATTCGTTTTGTGCTTGTTGTAGATCGATTTTCAATAATACATTTACATGACTGTATAAAAATATAAGGGATTATATTAATATGTATGTATGAACGTACCCCAACCTCCGTCAGAAACTACCTGGTACTGACTGGTCAGTTTCAATAATTTCGACGACACTATTAAAATGTATTCAACACTATATCGCTTAAAAACAAAAGTATATTTGATTAAATATTTCGTAAATTGAGTTTTGCTATTGAAGAGCGTTTATTTAGTATTTGCTTGTACTTGTTAAGTATTATTACGTGTTTGTTTAGTATTTACTGAATACAACACTATTTTTGTGCACTCCCGAGAACTTCACCGTAATGTCACATTTCATAAACCTCCATAATTATTTTTACAACAAATAAAAATAATTAATAATAATAATTAATAATTAATTATAATAATTAATTATTCCATAATTATTATTATTAATTATTCCATAATTATTTTTACACAACTGATAATTTCAATTTAATAACCCATACTAATATGTTTAATAAAAATAACGACTATTCTGTCTCTTTTTTCTCAAGCAGTTATCTCCACAATCAGTCTGATTGGAATAATTATACATTTTCGTATGCGACAGAGTACTTACTGACTGAACATACTGAAGTAAAGAAGTGACCCTGTAAAACTACTAGAAATGACGAGTACTAATATACATTTATTTAAGGTAAAAAAGCATTTCCCACAACTCTTGGATATAAAAAATTAAACTCACTGTATTTTTCCGGCTTTAGTTCAAGCGGACTGGATCCCTTGGAAGCACTGGCAGCCGCCAATACAGCCCATAATGTCACGACCACACCGAACAACATATCGTGTCACTGTGTCAACTGCATATGTTAACGTACATATGTTCATGAATGCATTTATATAGTGCAGTAACGTTACTCGAAGATTTGGCAGGAAATAGGAAAAAACAAATGTGTGGGAATATTATTGTTTAGAGAAGATAGGATGAATAGTGACGATGTACTGGACAGTCAACACTGTTGCTTGTTGTTGATACATAAGCCTGCTTCGGTGGAGCAGTGGTAGCGTATACGACTGCTGTGCTGGGGTCTCGGGTTCCCGGATCGGATCAATTATTTCTATCAGTCAATCTAGCTTTTGATGTACAAGCTGTGCTTAGTTTAAAACTAGATGAAAATATGATTGTATTAACATTCTCTTTGTTACATCAAAAATACATAAACTTACATTTTTAAAGACATTTATGATTCATACTAAGCAAAAAAAAATTGTCCTATCGATATCGGGTACAGACACCAAGATACCGGTGGTTAGGACTCTCTAGAAATCTCTTCACAATAATCGCCGTATCGAGAAGTACTGCTTTCTGCATCAGGCCTTAAATCCAGCTGCCTAACACATTAACAGCCTTCACTTGTTTACTGCTGGACATAGGCCTCTCCTAAGAAAGGAGGAGACGGGTTGGTATAGGGTTTGTGTCAACTTTTCCATCTTTTTCAGTCTGTTGTCCCGCGTAGTTTGCTCCCTTAGCCGGCTCTTACGACACTCGACACACGAGTTGCCCACACCAGCCTCTTATTATTATAAGCCGGTATATACGCTTTATACAATTCTTTGATTAAGCTGTAGTTTAGTGTGAGAGCCATGTTTCGGCACATAACGTCCAGGCTCGACCGAAGTAATACCACGACATCACGGCAAACCGGTATTAAAATATTATTTCGCTGCTTTTTATCGAGCGGATAAGGTTCCACTCTCCCTATTCCAAAGGAAGCGGTACTCCAAGGGTTTACAGCCAACCCTTGGAGTACCTTGGAATAGGGAGAGTTAACAACAGGGGACCCGTCTCATCATCATCATCATCTGAGCGTTAAGTCCAGTGACGCCAGGGGTCCGCTTTCCGACCCATTCTCCGCCACTTCGCACGGTCTTCGGCATCCCGCGTTGTGAGACCATTGGCACGCATATCATCCCTTACGACGTCAAGCCACCACTTCTCAGGGCTTCCCCTCCTACCCGGGCCCGGTGGAGGCGGCATGGCCAGACATTTGTTCCCTACGTAGCTCGGCGGTTGCCGCAAGACGTGACCGGAGGCGACACTCTTGTGACTTATCCGCAATGTCAGGGGACCCGTCTGTCCAGCTTTAATACCACTGTCCCATCATGATTTGCGGTATCGATTAGGTACACTAGCCTAAGATTAGCTAAGACAAATGGACAGAAGAACGTAAGATTTTTAAATTAGTTCTTTTGGTAAGTATCAGTACTTGTAAATTTAATATCTTCAGTCAAAAACCTTTACATTGTTTGTCATATCTGTTGTAGGTCACAAAACGGTATTATTTTGTATATATCAAGGGCAGGTGACCTGGTTTTGATCAGCACTTATTAATAATTTAGCGGTTATTTAAACTATTTATTTAAGTTATATAGTATGATATCATTGGACTTGAACCAGATCAGGCTATACAGATTATAGTAAACTGGGTTTTTTGATATGAGAGAATTTATAGTACAGCTGCAGAAGACTCACTTTACAAAATCATTGATATTTCAATAGCGACTCTTGCTCCGGAACCCCAAAGTATAAATCTTTACATCTGCTGTGTTGGTATTTTTATGAAATATAGCGATACCCTACTAAGCTTCGATGTGCCACATTGTGGTTGCATTGATGAGAAATAAAAAATAGTTAAAAACAACCTTTGAAGCGGTTTGTATATCATGGCAAATTTGAGCTCAATAGGTGTAGAAATTTTCGAGTTTTGGAAGCATACACAAGCCGAGTTAACATTTTTATATATATAAGAGTAGATAAAGAAAAGGGTATTAGACAGTACAAATCCTGTATTGAATATAAAAAGAAAGAAAAACTAAACGTAAACTTCGGAAAAATACGAAAATACGAAATAACATCTCAAAAAGAAATTTATTCAATAAAATTTGAAGACACAGTTACATAAAAAAGTCGATTCATATCCTTACAATAGAATAATAGTCTACACGGTTTTTGAATTATAAGTAGGCATTAAAAGTTGTCTCACTGAAGTTAAATTCCACTTTTCTGAGAGAGCTAAATTACTACTGAACACAATGATTCTAAGTGAGAATGTGTTATTGCCGCTTTCAACCTGGAATTCTTAATTTCAACAGTAAAAGGCTGTGTTTTAGGACTATCGTTTTATATTTGTCTTTGGGATTTATTCGTTCAACGTAAATTTTATAAAATGACTGCCTCGCTGATTCTAAGATGTAACTTAAATTTTAAAACTTATGAAAAGGAGGAGGTTATCAAGAACTTTTTGTTTGCTACATCACAACCAGTACCGTCTTTACCATAAGGGCACACGGGGCCCGTGCCCGGGGCCCCTTCGTCACAGGGGCCCGAAAAGCGATATATTCACTTACACTACGAGTATATTCAAATTCAAAATATCTTTATTTCATAAAAAAAATATGTTTGAAATCTCCTTTTATGTGTACTCTAAAGTCGTAGATCAGCACACATATAATAGCAACAATCTCTGTTTTGTCAAATAGTAAGGATTAAAAAAAAAATTGTGCTTATACAAAATCTATAATATGATTGTGCCAATCCACAACCTCTCGTTTGCAAGGGGTTGAGCCTTATGTGTAGAAAGGGCAAACAAACTCATAGCCACTCTTTTGCAATTTACAGGAAAATACAATGGCATCATTAAATATATCACAACATTATTGCGATGTGTGCCAGTATGCCCGTTGTTAAGGATTAAAAGGAAAAAGACAATAAAGAGAAAAATAAGATTAGGAAAAAAGATCAAATAAAAGAGAAAGTGAAGTGAGACATAAAAAATAAAAAATACACACCCTAACCCACGTCACATTTCCATTTAAGAAATAGCCTGCGCACGATTATTCCCAATCATTTTTGTCTTCTATGTAATCCACAATTGGGTAATAGGCTTCCTGACTTAATTAACGTTTAATTGCGGGTTTAAATTTGTTAATAGTTAAGTCTTGAATATCTATATCTTATATAAAAATTATTTATTATTATTATATATATATTATATATATATATATATTATATATTATTATAAAAAATATCTTGAATATATATGTTTATCTTTTGGCGCCTAGAGGCAGGTACTACAAGTTTATTTCTATTTCTGGTATTTATAGAATGTGCATCACTTTGTTTCAGAAAGCTATCCTTGTTTTTATGAACATATATTACATTTCCATATATATATTGACATGCCACTGTCATTATGTTTATTTCTATAAATTTCTGCCTCAATGAAAAACAATTGCCTGAATTATAAAGTGCTCGAATCGCTTTCTTTTGCAGTACAAAAATAGTTTGAATGTCGGCAGCATTCCTCCACAATACCGTACGACATTATGCTATGAAAGTAACTGAAGTAGACAAGTCGTGCTGTATCAACATTAGCCAACTCTCGAATTTTTCTTTGGTGCTGAAATGAGTTTACTCGTTAATTTATCAATATGTGGGCCCCACTGTAGCTTAGAATCTAGTGTTATACCTAAAATGTCGTCCAATGTCCAACTCGACATCCTTTATCATCACAGTACTTCTTACTGGCTTGACGTTTGGCATAGTCAAACGTATGCACTTGGTTTTTTTGTTTATTCATAAAAGCAAATTGTTGACGTCAAACCAATGAACTACTTTCGAAATAGCGCTTTTTAATTGTGTGAATTTAGTAACTGTCCCTTTTAGTCTAAATAGTAGTGATGTATCATCTGCAAGCAACACAATCTCGAGATTGTCCTTGACAAGGTGAGGTAATATATACTAAAACAGAAAAGTTCCGAGGATAGAACCTTGTGGAACGCCCATCTCTTCTACAGAGCCTGGAGACCGCTCACCATTAATATCAACTTTCTGAATTCTATTATCGAGATATGAAGCAAGAAGTTCCAGTGCTTTTTTTTATATCCAATTTTTGTTCTATTTTAGATCGATATCATAAACAGCCTGTAATAGTCCACTGCTAAAAATATGCCTCTCCTTAGAAAGGAGGTTTTGGCTTACTATACCACGCTGGCCAGACGGGTCGGTATAGGATTTGTTTTAAGTTTTCCTTCTCTTTGCAGTGCTGTTTTCCGGCGTAGTTTGCTCCCTTAGTCGTATCTCACTACACCCTCGGAATGAATAGGCGGGTGACACTCCGTATTCTTAATCCGCCTGGACAACGTATTATAGTAGGCCAAAACCTCATTTCTAAGAAGAGGTCTATGTCCGGTAGAGGACTATTAAACGCTGTTGATGATTATGAACTATTCTTCTTTTGATTTTTTGCCATATGTACATACATAAGAGGAAATAGTTTTAAAATTATTCTCCGTTCTCGAAAAAGATTGACTAAAGGTATTGATCAATGTATTCGATATTTCTCATGAGATAATCCTCAATAATAATAATAGATAATTTTCTTCTTCTTCTCGTATTCAGTGGTAAGCCAACATTTCTTTGGTACTGTACTTACTAAGTATGTCGACTCCTTTTATGTCAATTCGTTTTTTTTTGTAAAGGCTCGGACAGATAGCCGTAAACAGTAACTTTTCATGTTATTACTACGTACATCATCATCATCATCATCATCACAGGGCTAGGCTGAGAGTTAGGATATGAGACTGAGAATGCAGTAGCTCGAAGAAGCCGGGCTCACGTAACCTTATGTTACTACACTTATGAGTGATAAGGAGAGAGAATGTAGTTCGAGGAAAGACGCATCAACTAGTGATACTACTATTGCTCGCCAGACTCTGAACAGAAATTTGTTTTTATCATAACTATACAAATAATGCAGTCATATCTTTATCTCAGAGATACAGGCTATGGTCTGGTTTGTTCCTTTGTCTGTCCGATGGACTAAGAGCTTTCTGAAGACATTGTTAACTGCTGATGTTGGTCAGAAATTTTATTTATTTATACCTTTATTGTATACAGTTAACACATAAGTTATTTACAAATATATAGACGTAGAAATCGGCGGTCTTATCGCTCACGGCGATCTCTTACAGGCAACCTTAATCCGTATTAAGGTTGCCTGTAAGAGATCGCCGTATTACTGTATACTGTATACTGTATTATCCGTATAATATATATTAAAAAAATGGGGTTGTTTTTCATACACGTGTGAATATTTAAAAATATCAAGAAAAGCATTCATATACAAATATATAAATATTATTTATATATTTATGCATTTATAAATGAATATATATATATCTACAATGAAACCGACAGTTTATAATGTCAAATAAAAATTCTTCACTAGCTTTTTGAAAACGGGCAAGTTTAAGTTTGTCGGATTGTCAAAGACAACTTGTTCCAAAGTTACACTTACACAGTTTGCACAGTAAAAGATTTGTCTGCAAACTGGGTGGAATGTTGTGGCATTTTTAGTTTTAAATTCTCCGATGACCTCAGGTCCTTGCAATGTGTGTGCAAAAATTGTATTCAACCTAAAATAATTATACGACGAAGATAGAATATAAGAGACTTTTTTAAGATACCAGGTTATGGTGCGTATAATTAAGCTTCTTTTATATTCATACAAAAACGAAAAAAAATGTTGAATGTTGTAAGTGTGATAAAGATGCCTGTTGACCAGCAATTTTGTTCTACTTTTGAGAGTCGATTGGTCGCTCCAGATATAACTCGCAGTTTGTACCATTGGGGTGTAGTACTTTGTGTGTTTATGTAAAAGAAAAAAAGACAAAAAGATTTTTTAAATTGTTTATTCGATATCGCCCATGGTAACGGTTCTGTCGTACACCTCCGCTATAATTTACCTTTTGGCACAATATTTGGCATAATTCTTATGTGTACCCGTGTTCGGTTGCAATTTACAATAAAACAGTATCCGTAAAAAGAAGGCGTTCTGCGTTTAAATATAGAAATTCCAAATGAACATACCTATTTGACATTTGGAGGAGCTTATAAGTGTTTTTTTTAGGATTGGCAATTAGTAAATTTTTTATAACGTCAAATACTTATTTGATATAGGGATAGCTAGATAATTATGTTCTTTTCCTAAATGAAATATAAATCAAACACAATAAGGTACTGATATTGCGAAAGTCATGTCGGAGTTTTGGCCTGTCGTAATGTCAGTAGCAGATTCAGACTTCAAAGTAATCGAAATTTTGTAAGTTTCGTTTGATTGTCGAACACGGGTTAAAAAAATTAAGGTTAAAAGCCTATTATCTGTATTGAAATAAATATATCAGTACACTTTATTTATTTTACATCAGATACCTACCCATTTCCTACCTTTTGATATTATCAAAATTTATGTGCTCTAATTACTAGTGGTCATCCATCCATCCATCCATCATCATCATTGGTTCTTTTGATAATGTTTTAATTGTATATCTTTGAGGAAATAATGGTTACTTATTCATATTTTATTTTTATTATTTTAACAAAATTAAAAATCAAAAAGTTACCATTGCATTTCAAGACAAGAAAATTTTAGAACAAAATGGAATCTAAATAGACTGTATGGAGACCACTGTTTCAATATTAACAAAACTGATACAACTTTACTAACATTCTCACGAACACCAACAAATTTTTGTAACAATTATAATTTTACACTAAATTTAAGGCAAAATAATTTTTCCTACATAGCTCTGTACAATTTGTTCTTAGTACATGTTAATAAATTAATTTTTATATATGTGACAGATTCGAAAAACGGTTTCCTGTAATATGTGTTTCCAGGACCTACGTTCTGAATGTACCTGTCACCAAATAGTGAAATGGATTGCCAAAATCTAATCAAAAGCAAAAAACTGGTTTCCGTAGCATTTAAAATCTGTGGTTTTTTTTCAATTTTGATTAGATTCTGTTATCTCTGAAATCGAAAATATAATAATTCAGTCGCATCGTATTTCATTAGTGAATAGTCAAATTAACAACAAATCCTAATAAAAATTCCAATGAATGTTATTCGTTTAATCATGTTCGTTTGCGGCAGTGTTCTTATAATTTATTATCGTTTGAGCTTCAAGTAATTTGTTCAAATGTTATTTCATTCTAAGGTCTATCAATATAAAGTTCAAATTAGATTCAATTATTATTACCCATTAAGGCGACATAACGATCGCCGTCCTGATGTCTCAATTCTTCAAATTAAGTTTGAATCATTTGTTTCATATATTATAGGAACACAATTATAGTCACATTAAAAAAAAAGGTTCTCAAATCAGTACATGAAATGAATAGTCTAATAGTTCGTTCACAAATTGCAATTAATGTCTTTTGACAAGCTAGGTCATTGCCAAGTTCTTGTTCACTAACGTACGCTGGGATATGAACCTCGACACTCCTTAATATTACTTCATTCAACTAGTTAATATTATAACTACACTATAATTCTAAATTGCTTTAATAATTATTGCTTTAATTTTTTTTTGGTCTGTCAAATCCTTGGCGAGTGAAACCGTGTGTAAAAACTGTATATTGTGTGCTCACCGTGTGCTTACAATCAGTACATTAAAACAGCTAAAGTAGAAAAAAAAAACGAAGCGTCGATTAACATATTACTACAAGTTGAACTATAAGTAAAAATAGATCTAAAAAGTATACTAGTGCTAACGGGTCAGCCGTCGATGTTACTGTAGAAGGCCTTCGATAGGATTCGTCCTGAGATCACGTTCTTAAAGATTAAGTACAAACTATTATTGCATGTTTAGAATTGCACTGTTACGATTTCGATTTAAAAAGTATCGATAAAAGTAGTCTTTACACTCGTTAGTATTGTCCAGTATTTAGAACATACGTGGGATACTGCAGGGCGGTTTACTGGGCCCGGTCTAAAACTGTCAACCCGACTTTAACGTTTAAACGACAGTCTTTAAATAGTCGGGGCAGTTTAGACTGGCGGGTCCATGTCGCGCTGCAGTGACGTGAGTCACGTGTGGAACACCCACCCGGGCACCGGAGGTCACGCGTCCGGAACACCGTGAATGTGGTGTTGATAATTGTGGTTCAGCTTGTTTGCGAACTCGTGCATAATATCCCGGAATATTACCGAGTCTAAGTTCTCTCCTAGGATGTAGAGAAGATACCAGTCGCCCATCTTGCTTCGCCTGACGATTGTGTCGATGTTGTCGCGGCGGACGAGCCTGAATCGCATGCGCATCATGTACACCCGCATGCGAGGTGAGAAGATAATGACGACTCGGTAAATAAGAGTGATGAAAGTGAGAACACCGAGGATGACGAACCAGAACCAGAGGAAAACGTAGATCTTTTCGTTGACTACGTTCAAAGGCAGTATGCAGAGAGCGTCGTGTCGCTCCACCTCGCCTGACGAACCGAACTTGTTGAATAGTGTGCATTTCACCATCCTGGAAAACATATTATTAAAAATATCAACGCCATTTGAAATACAAAAATGTAATACTTTATAAAGCTTAATGTTTTTTGGCCCTTTCATTTAATTTGTCTCAAGCTGTTTGACCTTTAGAGACTTTTCTTCTTCAACATAATATATGAGTCACTTATTATGCCTCACCTTGGAAATATGTAGATCATAGGGTCGAAGCGGACCTCCTGGTCCGATTCCATATATTTGATGACTTTTAGACCAAACGTCATGAACTCGCCGTCGAAGAAGCGGTTCATCAGGAACATTTGCCCTGAAAATAACAATATATTTGAATAACAATATATACACAGAATCAGAAGCAATTGTATCAATAGATTGTCGATGGAATGTCACCGGAATAGTTTTGCACTTTTCCTATTCTACTAACTAAACAAATGTCGTCGATGTTTTTTCTAACAGTTTGGTAAACAGTACATTTTAAATTTGTAAGGTTAATGTTAGTTATTGATATATTTAATATTCCGGGTATGGCAATGTTCGTGATATCACCATTGATGTGCTATATTACTGTATCGACAGTCTATTGACACTGTGAAATGGTGTTAGTAGAATACTGATATTTTGACAGATGTCAATGGCGTCTCAGTGGCATCTCAATAACGTGTCAATAGAACGACATTGGCTTAGCGTTAACATAAAATAGCAGAATAGAGGCCTTGTTCGTTTGCCATATACCATGAAAAAAAAAACAAAAAATACCTACGTAATAAGGTTATGTGTTTATTATGCCACTAGCTCTGACCGACCACGTGAATATAGTTATAATGGTAAAAAGTAGCCTATGTCCTTCTTCAAGAATCAAACTATTTCCAGACCAAATTTCAGCTAAATCGGTTCAGCGGTACTTGATTCCCAATACAAACTTCCTCGTACTATTTCACCCCCTTAATGATTATTTCTGGGATAAAAACTATCTTATATCTCTTCTCGGCACTCAAACTATCTCTTAAGAAATTTCATCTAATGGGTGAAAAGATATCAGACAGACAGACACACTTTCGCATTTATAATATTAGTATCAACCAGTATGAATAATATTATAAAACAAGCACCTGTAATAACCACAGCAAAACAAAATCATAGTTCCCTTTTTAACCTGTTCGAGTAACTCCAAGCAAATATGCCTGGAACAGCAAACGCAACAATTTTTTATTGCATAGCTATGCAGGATCTAGCACATAAAACAGTATTGTGTTGTAAAAGTAACTTTATGTTTGTTTTAATTCAATATATTTTGATTTACAACCGGTGCGGGCCGACCGTTTGCGGTGTGGAGAGAAATAAGAAGGTTCACATTGGTACGATCTCCAAATTTTTTGGTATTTTCATTTGTTTAGGGATTTGGATGTACTCTTGTATCCACAGTTGTATTTATTAATAAATTGTAATGCAGCCAAGGTCTCTGCTAAAAATACGACACTATTTGACGTAGAGAATTCTAACCAAATTAAAGAATCGCAATCACATCGTAAAAAAATTTTTATAATTGACAGCTATAACGGAAAATAGAAAATAGAATAATAAAGCGCCGAAGTTTCGTATATCTTTTAAGGCAGTTACTTCAACATTTCAACATCTAATAACAGTAACGTTAATGTAAATCATTTTTTTTTTATCATATAAGGGGGCAAACGAACAGACTGGTCACCTGATGGTAAGCAACTACCGCCGCCCATGGACTCCTGCAACACAAGTGCGTTGCTGTCCAGCAGTGGACTATTAAGAGCTGTTGATGATGATTATGAATGTTTTTAAAACACTTTTTTCTATCCAGCAAGTATACGTCTCATGTTTTTTTAAATACAATAATATAAAGGTATAATTAAACGTATAAGCTTGAATCACCATATTAATTCTTACATAATCTTCAGCAAAACGTTGAGTGAATCTTCTGCTATGTGTTTGTTTATTGCGTACGTGCGTTAGTTCTCGATTCAGATCGTGGCGGCGGCAGATGTGTCCTGATATATCAGTTTAGGACATGCTCAGCCGCAGTGGGTTACGAAATAAGCGGACACGGCCCTCTGTGTTGTTACGTAAATCTCTTATGTAGGTTATTTCTACTAAATTGTAGAGCTTTTCTAAGTAAACTGTAAGTCGATTTGAAGGAAACTGCTTCTCAAAATTAATTTTCAAGACATTTATCTATATATTATACCAATATAACATAACATATGTAATTTATCTGCATTCATTGCTATTCGATCTAACGCTCCAACCAGAGGTCGTGGTATAGATTCCTGTACAGGATAAGTAATAGTGCAGTAAGTACGATCATTTATTCTGTATCTAGGTGTAATTTATCTAAAATGTATGTATGTGATTATAAATATATAAGTATGTTTATCAGCAGTGGTAACCAAAGTTCAGGATCTGCCTAATTTGGGATCAGACAGCCCTGTGTGATTTCTGAGATTATTATTAAATACATAAGTATGTTTATTAGTAGCTTGTTTAACATAGTTCTGGCTAGCTTAGGCTCTGATTAAACTGAGAACAGGAGGTTAAATGGACGATATGTCAAGTTATTGTTATATTATTAACTTGTGGAGGAACGGATGTCATGTCCCTCCAACTCAAAGGGAGGATCCTCCGACCAGGCAAGGTGATCATGCTTGGCGGGCCGCGGCCCAACGGTTGATGTTGGAAAGTTGTAGATATGGTAAGAGGCGTGCGAATTACTCATATCGCGATACAGGTTTTAGCAGTTAATCCGTAGTTCAGTGTGTCTTTGTTAGATGGCGCTGTAGTATGTTTCTTCGTTTCGCCATATGTGGAAGTCGCCACAAACTTAATTGGTTCCAATATGTAAACGCGTTTTAGAGATGCTTCATAGCCCGACATTGAGGAGTGCGCGGACAGCGATATTCCCAGTGGCCCAAATACTTTTTTGTTGTAGGACGACAGGAAGTGAAAGTACAGTTTGACATTACGCCGGAAGTAGGGGCCATATTGTTCAGTATTTGTTGACGGTTTTTTAGTGGAAACTATACAATGTATGATCTATTCGCGTTTCAGGTACAGTTCAATGACCTTACGTTGAGGTAACAATGAGTTACTTCCATTGGATACTCCAGTATAGTTATACGTACGCACCCAACTGAGTTTCGACGACAAAGACACAAAGGGAGAAATTCTAAATTTAAGGCTGAATCTTTTATTATCTGTGACCACAGACATTTATGACCTTAGACATTTTCTACAGAGATCTTTGATATAAGACCTTTTCCAATATTTATATCTATATCTCACATCTCACACACAGCTATCTGATCCCAAACTAGGTAGAGCCTGCGCTATGGGGATCAGACTGCTGATAAACATACTTATATAATTTTAAATATATACATATTATAGATAAATTACACCCAGACACAGAACAAATGACCGTGCTCATCACACAATATTTGTCCTGGGTGGGAATCGAACCCAGGACCCCCGGTTTAGCAGTCAGGGTTACTAACCACTACACTACCACTAGAGATAAGACCTTTTCTAATAAAGGGAAGAGTTGATCTTTTACTGGAAAGGTTCGTAATCATCTGATTGCCTATTTTCAAATTTAATAACCATACCTATTTTATTTCTAAATATACATATATATTATATGTTAAAATAGGTTAATCGCTACTTAAGATTATAGTAAAATTACACTCAGACACAGAACAAATGATCAGCCTCATCATACATTGGTATAGTGGTTAGTGACCCTGACTGCTAAGCCGGAGGTCGTGGGTTCGATTCCCAACAAAGACAAAGAATTGTGTGTTGAGCACGATGATTTGTTCTGTGTATGGGTATAATTTATCTATGATATGTATGTGTTTAGAAATATTTAAGTATGTTTATCAGCAGTCTGATTACCATAGCACATTCTCTGCCTAGTTTGGAATCAGACGGCCGTATGTGTGAGGTGTGTGAAGGTATTATACAATATTTGTCCTGATTGGGAATCAAACCTATGACCTCTGGCTCAAACTCGGGATTGACTCAACTTTAGCCGAACAAGTTAGTAAGAAATTTGAAGCGCTTATCTATAGAATTTTTGTTATTTTTTCCCTTCAATAGTAGTAAAATAAATTATAACTTAACATCTGATTACAACAAACTCTACCACTCACCTATAACATTGACAAGGGCTAGAAACTCGCAGAGGTAGTACCGGTAGGCCCACCAGTTGTGGTACCTCAGGTTCTCCCACAAGTAGTCGAGTATCAACTTCTTCTTGGTCTTCTTCTCTATCTCCGTGCACACTCCCACATCTAAGTCCATCATTAGGGCTCTTATCTTGCCCCCCTCCCATGACTTCCATAGCCATCGAGGAGCGTAAAACAGCATTGCCTGGAAAGACGAGAATAGGTGAATTATGTTTCACAGTTCAAAGAGAATTAATTATTTACTAAAGTACGTTGACAGACCTGTCGGTCATGTAGTTTTTGATCTTCACAGGCCAGCTACAGGACAAATGATCATGTTCACACAATCATTTGGGATCAATCATCAATCATCAATCTTTGGGTGGGAATCGATCCCGAAACTACACCAACAGACCCGTCAAATAAATGTCATTTATATCATGAATATCACATTTATTATAAAGCCAGTTTATTATGCCTAGTTCAATACTTAAAAAAATATTAAATAGAAGTATTAAAAGAAAATATTAAAAACAAAAAATATTGAAAGTAACAAATACTTTTTCTCTATTCAACAGATTATAAAAATTACTATACTTCATAAAAATTTCATAGACAAAAATCTATATTTAAAACTAGTATCCGAAAAAAAACCTTTTACGATGCCATTTAATCATAAAATGAAAATACGCTTTCGCAGACATCTTGATTACTTAGTTATTCTAAACTTTATTTTGAGCCATTTTAAAGTCTAAAGTTGAAAGTCAGGCAGTTATAAGGTATGAGTCACAATTATCCATATCTTAAATCACTAGCAATAAAAAGTTCCTTTCAAATGTTAAAATTAGCAGACGTTTTTAGTGGTGCAACCTGTAACGATTTGTACTACAATAATAATATTGTATGTAGCAATATTTTATATTATTGCTTCTGTAAATGCAGTTTCAAAAATAGATATAGGAACTTAGAACGAGGGTTGTCGCTTAACATCGTGTGGTTTATCCAAAGTGTAAACCTTAATGGTAGCCTAAAAGTGTAAATTTGTAGCATAAACTAAGTAATAATAAAAGCTGCAATTTTTCTCAATAAAAATTTAAATTTATTAAAAAAGGAGAATGGAAAATAATAAAAAAACTGTAAAATATGAATATATGTCCGTGTAGTGACGGATTAAGAATACGGAATGTCACTACCCCAATTCATCCCGTGGGTGTCGTAAGAGGCGACTAATGGCGCAAAACAACGCAGGACACCAGCACTGCAAAAAGAAGGAAAACTTGATAGAAACTCTATACCAACCCGTCTGGCCAGCGTGGTATAGTAGGCCAAAACCTCCTTTCTAAGGAGAGGCCTATGTCCAGCAGTGGACTATTAAAGGCTGTTGATGATGATGATGATGATGAAAATATAAAAAAAAAACACTTATTGTTCTAAGTAATCACGAGATTATGTAAACTAAACTCCTATAACATTGAATCAACAATAAAACGATATTCCTTATAGGGATCCTCTCATTGCCTTCCCTTCTAACCCACCTTTCCTTTTATATCGAACTCCCAAGTTTCCCCTCTAGTTCCTCAAGTCCCCAATTAGCAGCAATATCTATAAAATTCTCAGTACGGTAATTTTACCATTTACTTCCTGAAGTTGGATGCCATGTGGTAGTCCCCTATTACGTTAGAAGGACAAAAATTTTAATCGCCAAAAAGAGGGCACATGCCTATTAATTGTCTTTTGGTGTCATAAGTTAGTGTATTTATGTGTTCATGTGTATTAAATCAAATTGCCTCGTGTTGGCAACCACACTTTTTACTAGTACCAAGTAACTTAAATCATTACGTCATCGACAGCCCTGCCCATAAGCCAATAAATTCATCTGACTAGACAGTATCATAAAATGGTTTATTGCCATCAGATATTATGGCTTTCATCGCAGCCCAACGGCGGACGCTACCGCGAATGTACGCTTACTGACAGATATCATAGCCCCTCATGTCTTTATATAAATAACCTCAAAGATAATAACGCATCATACAGAAGCACAACGTATGTTTGTTTGTTTGTAACGCTTACAAGCGTAACTGTTCCACTGAACATCATGCAATTTTGGATGCATATTATCAATATAGAATACGTTTCATGAATTTTAAGGTTTATTCCATAATATATCTTCTATTATATTAATACGTGAAGAAGAAACCTTGTAACCCTTTTAAACTAATTATGGCGTACGAAACTATATCATATTTGGCATACTAAATGTTTATATTTAGAAGTAGTGCATAAACCTAAATTTTTTAAACTGTGCGTGTTAAAACAAGTTAAAATTTTAAAAGGTTAATTTAATGTAAAAATAGCATAAAACATAAAGCACCTAGACTACCTATTGTTTCTTCTCATTTACTTTCGATTTGTCTATCCAAAGGTTGCCTGTAGGAGATTGCTTTGAGCATAATATTTATCTAACATATTGTAATTGGTGTACAATAAAACTTATCCCTGTGGTGACGGATTAAGAATACAGAGCGTCATCACCCATATTCATCCCGTGGGTGCCGTATGAGCCGACTAAGGAAGCAAACTATGGGGACAACAGTATTGCAAAGAGAAGGAAACTCTATACCAACCCGCCTGGCCAGCGTGGTATTGTAGGCCAAAAGCTCCTTTCTAAAAAGAGGTCTGTGTCCACCAGTGGACTATTAAAGGCTGTTAATGTAATGATGATGAATGTTTTTATGTAGAAGAAAGCTAAATTTTTTAAATGATACGTGTTAAAATGTCAAACAGTAATTTTTATGTGAAAATAGTTACATAAAGCTATAAGGGCGCGTTATATAAGTTCAAGTAATACTATTAATACGGAAATTTTCACAGGTCTTCCTTCCTTCGAGCCTTATTCATACACTAGGTTGGGGTCGTATTTAAGTCTAATACGATACGGCTGAACTTGAGTTTTTTACGCATAGTGATTGCCATCAGAGCTCCACAACCCAAGTAAAAAGCGATTTCGGAGTTCTGTAGAAAAACTGTTGTCGGACTATTTAGGGTTCCAACTACAGAATCAATAGGTATTAGAATATACACTGGTGGACAAAAAAATTAGGCCACTTCTAATTTTATGATTTATTCATTAAATACGGTCTGTATAAAAATTAAAATGAATAATACGTTTTTGAACGTTTATTTGCAATCTTAGTAGAGGATATATTTATAAAAATATCAAGTGTAAATGTGTCAAATGTCATTTAACATTTTTTTGATAGAACCACACTTTTATTCTTTTAATGTTCTGTCGCTAGGACGCTATTTAAAACTATCGTTAAATTTGTATTAGTGATTTAAGTTCTGTGCCCTCTACTTCTTTTTACATGCTTTATATGTTCAGTTGTATGTTTGTATGTTTGTTTGTAACCGACTCCTTTGGGGTGATTTTGACTGACTTTATGCGGTCAGAATTCGTTCAAACTTTGTAGATATATCAAGGACCGATGACAATACACTAATTTAAAAAAAAATAGTTTTAAAATACCAAAAAACACGCTTTTTATAGAAAAAAACGTGGGGTGCTTTTTACTATTGACAACAGGCACCCAACGCTTTTTTTCAAATTTATCAAAATTTATTTTCTAATTTTTTAGTTTGGTTTTCTATAAAAAGCGTGTTTTTAGTTTTTTTAAACTATTTTTTTAAAATATATTTTTTTTAATGATAAATATGGATCTACGCGAAACAGAAGTTGTTCGAATTTGTTGTAAAAAACTAGAACGAGTCAGCGTAACGACGCTCGACAATGTGAAGTTAGTCGATAAACGGTTCAATATGTCTACAAGAAGTATCAAGAGACCGGTGGTCATCAGAAGACTTGGATGAGGCCGAAGAAGAAAAACATCTGAACAGGATGATCGATTTACAGTGTCAGCAAGCCTAAAATTGCAGCACCTGCTCAGAGATGTCCGAGGTGTTGCTGAAAGTGAGAGGACAATAAGAAGACGCCTTTAACAACGTAGTTTAAAACCAACTGACCCTGCAAACGTTGTATTGCAAAACAAAAAAAAATAGGGATGGGTCACCCTTACCATTTAGGGGTATGAAAAATAGATGTTGGCCGATTCTCAGACCTACCCGATGTGCAAACAAAATTTCAAGAAAATCGGTCGAGCCGTTTCGGAGGAGTTCAACTTCTAACACCGTGATACGAGAATTTTATATATTAGATTAAGACTACGTTTAGTTAGTCTACGAAATGACTTGTCTTGTTGAATTAGGCTTTTCTTTAATAATAAAAAAAATATCGAGTGGCCTCTTGGTCGACTGGCCTCTTGGTCCAGTGGTTAGTGGCCCTGTCTGCTCCGCCAGAAGCCGTGGGTTCGATTTCCACCCAGGAAAAATATAGTATAAGCATGGTCATTTGTTCTGTGTCTGGGTATACTTTAACTAAAATTTAAATGTATTTAGAAATATTAGGTCTTTACCTAAGAAATTGCTGTTTTGTATGCAATAAGTGAAAGTACTTATTTTTCAAACTTTTTTATTTCTGTTATTCGAAGTAATCACCCATGCAATCGACGCATCTATTACTTACGCCTACCGACTATTACTTTTTCCAAAATTTAGACAACTTTTTAGTGGGTAAAAAATTCAATTCCCGAGAGGCAGTACAAAATGCCTTTGAAGAGTTTGTTGCCTCTAGTCCAGCTGATTTTTACAAGAAGGGCATCAATAAACTGCCAATGCGTTGGCAAAGATGCGTCGACTGCATGGGTGATTACTTCGAATAACAGAAATAAAAAAGTTTGAAAAAATAAGTACTTTCACTTATTGCATACAAAACGGCAATTTCATAGGTAAAGACCTAATATATTATTTTGTCTATAAACGTATCTTTCTACGGCTCTAGTTTTTGTTTTAAAATAGTTTTTTTTTTATTGTGGTTGTAAATCAGACGTGATTTGTAATGAAACCTTATACCATAATTATAAGTCAATCAATCAACGACTTTACGAGTTTTACAAGATATATGTTGGCTAAAGTTTTCTGTAGTTAAATACAGCATGTTGATGGAAAGTTTTAGTCAAATTTTAAACGCATTGAGTAACTGAAAAAAGTCTGATTAAGTAAATATTTTTCTTCGGATAGGACTTTTCTTAATGTAGGTAGGAGATTTCTAATTTTCAATTTAGTTAGCTTACTTTCAGTGCTCGTGAA